TAAAAAAAAAAAAAAAAAAAAAAAAAAAAAAAAGAAAAAAAAAAAAGCAATTTTATGGAAATAGATAAAAATAATAATTATTCTCTACATGATAATAAAAAAATAAATAATCAAGAATCCACTAAAAATAATATTCTTTTTGATAACATAAGTAAATTAAATCAAGAAAAAAATGAAGATAGCTGTGTATGTAATACATCATCATTAAACAATAATGAAAAAATAAAATCTCAAAACTATATGCGTAATAATTTAAGTAGTAATGCAAATAATTATAATAAACATTCAAGAATTTCATTTGGTCATAATAAAAATGTCAAAGGTGAATATTATGAAAATAACTTTCCGAATGACAATTTTAGATTAACAAAAGAATTATTGGACGATTTAAACAAAAGAAACCAGGAAGATGATGAAGATAGTGATAGTCAGAATTTTTTAATATATGTTAAGAAAATAATAGAAGAAAAAAAAGAATTGAAAAAAAAAAAAAATAATAATAATAATAATAATAATACTAGAGAAATTAGTAATGCAAATCTCGAATTTTCAAATATAGAAACATATCAAACAATTAATGATAATAATTCTTTATATAGTGATGAATCAACAAAAGTATTTGTTAATAAGAAAAATAAAGTTAAAATTAATATGTGTGAAAATCCATGTGATATGTGGTATGGGTTAAAAACAAAAAATGGAAAAAATATTTTTATTAACAGTTTAAAACATAAAAATAAAAATAAAAAGAAGAGAAAAGAAAAATCCAAAAATATTGATAAATATTTTATTAGCAAAAAAAACAAATATAATAAATGGAATTCTAATTATTACATGAAATTAAATAATAATGATGATAGTATTTCAGTCAATACTATAGCTACTATGCATATTGATGGAAATTATAAGTATAATGATAAAAAAGATAGTAGAAATACAAATATTAATTCACGTCATAATTATTATAATAATAATAATTTTAAAAATTACAATAGTAAAAATTTTGTAAATAATATTCCATATGATAAAACTAACAAAAATAATATAAATAATGATAAAATTATTAAACAAACAAAAAGAAAAAATAAAAAGAACATGTCTTGGTCAAATAAAAATAATAATTATGTAAGTACAAATAATGCTCATTATGTTTCAACCAGGAATTATGGAAATAATTATTTTGATAATAAAATAATTAATTTTAATAATGATATAAAATCTTATGACAACAGAAATAATATTGATGAAAATAATAACATATTTAACAGTAATATAAAATTAAAGGACCATAATAATAATAACTTATCAAATGTTAATACAAATAAATATTCCCTTGCATGTGAATATAATAATATAGAAAAAAAAGAAAATAAAAATAGCAATGTAATACATCATAGTAATAATGGAATTAACAATACGATTAAAATCAAATATTATAAAAATAATCCAAATAATATAAATTATCAGAATGATAATACTAATACTCATGAAAAAAATACAAATAATACTATTAATTCTAAAAATAATTATAACAATGATCAATCCACTTGTTTAAATAAAATTAATGTTATAGATTATCATTTATTAAGTACCACCACAAAAAAAAATAATGCACCAAATAATTCATCTTTAAACAAAAGTTGTTCCACAATGTGCAATATGGGTAATAATGAAAATAATGTAGAATTTAGTAACAATTATTACGATATAATAGATTGTAATAAAACTGAATTCTTTGATAATAATAAAATTAGTATTGATAAAATCATTACCTACAATAGTTCAGTATATTCTTATAATGATAATAATATAAACAATTCTATCTCCAATAAGGTACATAAATTAAATACCCATACTAATATAAATGGTTTTCAAATGAATACTAAAGAACATGATAAGAAATATCATTCAGATCCAGTTATGGTTGATTATGTTCCTCTTGTTCAAAATAATACAAAAGAAAATATAAATAACAGCTGTTACAATTATATAAATACAAAATATAATAATAAAAACTTTATAGGAAAAAATATTATTAATAACAATAAAATATCTATTTTAAATAATTGTAATTGTGCAGAAAATAAAATATCTTCAGAGGATTTAAATAAAAGAAGTGGTATCATTTGGAGCAAAAAGTGTGAAACTTGTAATAGTATAAATATTACAAATGAGGTTAATAATGAAAATAATAAAATACACGTTCATGCTTTTAATAAAAAAACAGCTGAAACATTTGGATGTAACAAGTCATTTAATGAAAAAATACATTTAAATTATAAAAATAATAATCATAATGCAAACCTAAATTATAACAAATCATACAATGCTAATAAAATTAATAAAGATGAAAATTTAAGTAACATAGAAGGAAAAGACAAAGTGAATTTCATTGGTTCTCTACATGTAAATGATCAAAATAAAAAATATAAAAATTATTATTATAACAATCTAAAATTTGACTTGAGTTATGAATCAGAAGAAGATAAGAATAAAAAAAAAAAAAAAAAAAGGAATATGCCTTTTAACAGTAAATCAATTTATAAAAATGCTAGAGAACGGGTTCAATCAATATTAGCTATTAGAAGAGGGATAGCATAATAATTTTTTTTTTTTCCAATAAATAATTTTAATATAAAAAAAAAAATAAGAAAAAAGGCTTTTATATATATATATATATATATATATATATATATATATATATATATATATATATATATATGTATATATTAATAGATATATTTATGTGAAAAAGCTATTCGTAAAAATTTCCAAAAAAATTAAAGTTTATGTAATAATTAAATATATAACATTTTTATTAATCTTTAGATTTTACAATTTTTTTTTTTTATATATTACATACAATTTTAAATGAAGAACACACAAAATAAAAAAGAATTTATGTGTTGTATAAAATTGCATGCGTGCAAAATAAATAAAAAAATAGCTAAAGAAAATAACAGATTCTATATGCTATAATTGATATTTTATTTTATTTTACTTTATTTTTTTTTTTTTTTATTTTTTTGTTAACATTATTTTTAACATATTATTTTTTCATATATATTAACTTCCATTTATATAAATATATACAACAAAAGCATATATATATATATATATATATATATATATATATATATATATATATATATATATATATATATAAATGCATGTGTAAGTTTTTTTTTATATATTTTTTAAAACAAGCTTCCTTTATATGAATGTTTTCTTAATTCATTTTTAAAATGGCTCAAAGATTAATCCTTATTTAATATAATTCCTATGAACGTAAAAAGTTCAAATAAATTTCTTTTATAAAAAAAAAAAAAAAAACACAAAAGTTTATCCCTTTTTACTCTTTTTTATTTTAGCTTCAACATTTCAAATGTGTACTAACATTAAAAAAATAATATATTTATTCTTACTATAAGGAAAATAGAAAAAAAAAAAAAAAAATAAATAAATAAAAATAAAAGCCTTGAATATATCCTACATTTTTCACAAATACTTCTTTGGGAACGAAAAAAAAAGTAAAAATTATTTGCAACCATAAAAAAAAAAGAACCTTTTTTTTTAACGTGGTGCATATTTAATTGAAAACATTGTTAAGTATATTAAAAGGAAAAAAAAAATTATTTAAAAAATGATTAAAAATCCCTTTTAAGAGGAAAATAAAAATATCATATAAAGATAAAGATTGCAATTAAAAAAATATATATATATTTATTTTAAAGAAATTATAATTTTTAGAAAATTTTTTGTAAGAAATATATAATTTATGTAATATTCTTTTTTTTTTTTTTTTTTTCCTAAATTACATTTTAGTTAAATTTTTGAAAATAACAAAAAAAAAAAAGTGTGTAGTATTAATTAAGAAATATAATTTAAAAATATTTTTATGTATGAAAAAATGAAAAAGCACAGAAGTGTGTAATAGTGCATTAAAAAAAAAAACACCAATATCTATATATTTATATGTGTATCAGTATATATGTGAAAGGGAAGTACATGTTTAATAATGAGAGAAAAAATATTATTTATATGTATATAGATTTATAATATTAAAATATTAATATATTATATGAAAATATGTATTTATTAAATAAAGTTACATTGTTGTATTTTTCGTTTCAATAAAAAAATGGGTAGAGCACATAAAGCAAGAGGCAAAGTAGAATTGCCAAAAAAATCTTCGCGTTTTTTAAACGTAATAATGGTTTTAGCATTTTTAAGTGCAGTTCCTCAAATTTTAACAACATTTATGTTATCATGGAGAGTAGCAGATCCTATAAAATATACTTTTATGTTTAGAGGTAGTAGGCATTATATTACTTTTGATGTTACATGGTATGGACTTTACAGAGTACTTTATGATAATAAACATTCTGAAACATGGAGTCAAAGAGTAGATAATATGAAAAATAGAGGAAACTTAGTAATTCAACAAGGAAGGAATAGTGAATCTGCTGGAAGCTTATCATTATGGACTTCTCTTTGTCCAGAGGCATGTAGAGAAGCCATTATGAAACGTATAGAATCTTATGAAAGAGTAGCTTTTATTTCATTAGTACTTTTATGCAGCATTATCTTATCATGTACTATTGTACTGCTATCTATTGGATGGAGTATATTGTTCTATAAAAATATATTTATATTAATGGGATGCTTTATTTTATCTTTTATTATTAATGCTGGTGTTGGTGGATATTGGTATTATGAAACAGATATGTCTTGGAATATTGTCTCCGGTGTACAACAATATCCTTTCCCCAGATGTTCATACTGTTTTTACATTTTTATGATTACAACTGTTATGTATGCTCTTTGCTTTCTTGGACTATTAATTTTAGATCTAGTGAATAAAAATAAAGAAAAAAAATCTCATATGGATCAAATAAATATGCATAATAGGGATCCGGTTAATGCTAAAGGAATGTATCAACCATTATTTGGCAACCCTAGTAATATGATGATGCAAAGAAGTGCTAGTTTTAGTAATTTAATGCCTTTTGATAAAGGTATGAATAATGAATACCCTAATTTTATGCTATATAATAAAATGAATATGAATCCAATGGGCACATTTTCTAGTTTTAGAAATATGCCACCAGGCATGCCACCAAACATGCAACCAAATATGCCACCAAATATGCAACCAAATATGCCATCACATATGAATCCCAATTTTTTCCCTCAAGTATCAAGACAATATTCATACTCTGGTTCACCTTCTTTTCAGCAAAATTTTCAAAATTTTGATAATTTTTCTATGAGAAATATGCCATCTATGTCAGATTTAAATTTCGCAAGACAGTATTCTGGAATGAATTATAGTAATATGAATAATCCTTTTAATTCACAAAAGCCATTTAAATTTTAAATAACATTAACATAAAAAATAAAAATTGTAATCATAGTATTATAATAAAAAGGGAAAAAAAAAAAAAATATTACTTATGAAATAAAATTAGGATAATTTAAAAAAAAAAAATAAATTAGCACATATAAAAAAAAACAGTATAACATATAATAATTTTCTCTATAATGTTTTAAAAAAAAATATAAAAAATAAAAGAATTAGAAGATATTTGAATAAATTGCAGTTTAATAAAAATAAGAATTATTGATGATAATTATATTCATATACTGGAAAAAAAAAGAAAAAAATATATATATACAAGGGAACTTCATATATATGAAAAAGAAACTATTTTTTAAAAACAATATGAATTGTTATTTGTATTAAAACTATATAATATCAAAAATAAAAGAAAAATAGAATTTAAATATGTAGTATAATTAAAAATTTACTATATTTTCAATTATGCTTATTGATAATAATTTAAACATTAACAATAGCTGCTTTTTAATAATAAACTTAAAAATATCTCCCTTAAAATATTAATATATATTACATGATTATACTTTTTTTTCTGTTTCATATTTATTTTAGATATTTTTTTTTTAATTACATAACCGAAGTGCATAAATTTATTTATTTGTGAAACTATGAATATAACGACTGTTTTCTATTTTTTTTAACTTTTTAAGGTATATCCTTTTATTGTTACAGTTTTACAATGAATTTATATTGTAATTTAATCTTAAAAAAATATTTCCATTAATTTCCCCTTTCACACATTTTTTTTTTTTTTTTATATTTTTAATATATTGCTTTCTTTTTAGAAGACTTTTTGTTTACTTAAAATATACTTTTTGCATCTTTCATATAAGGAAAAAATGAATTATTAAAAATTTTGTATACATTAGAAAAAATTAATAATTGTAGATAAATATATTTAAAAAAAAATAAAAAAATAAAAAAATATACAAAATATTTATGATAAAATGTTTTAAAATTTACAGAAAAATTTATATTTTTTTTAATAAATTGAAGATCCTTATATATTATAAATGTTAATTTTATTCGAAATATTATTTTCTTTAAATCATTAAATTAAAAGGAGTTTGTAATATTAATATTGATTTGTGATACTTTTTAATTATTATATTAAAAAAATAGTGTTTACTAACTTAAAAATGGAATAAGGTAAAAAGCAAAAATAAAGAATACATATATATTATAAAATAAAAATGTTTCCTTATTTTTTTTTCTTTATTATATTTATATTAATTATACACTATTTTATTATATCGTTTTAAAATACTAAAAGCATTCTTTTCATTTATTGTCTAAATTAAATATTATATGATAAATTGCACCTTTTTTTTCTTCCTTTATTCTATCTGTATTGATATCTCTTAAGGTATCTGAAAAAGATAAATCATTTATTTATTTTTGGAAAAGTTACATAATAATTGTATAAAATAGCACATCTACTTATAAAATATAAATAATAGAAAAAATATTCATAAATGTTTCATATAGAATATATATTTTTTCACTTTAAGAAAATGAAATGTTATAATTACAAATAAGTAAGATGTAAACTTCTCTTCACCTTTTAATATTTAAAATAAATTTTATGAAAATAAGAACAAATTATACCATTGGGTAGAACTTTCATTTTATAATAATTTAATATATAAAGTTAGTCTTATAATTTAAAAATTAGCATAAACATAAATACTTTTAGATTTTTTTATTTCTTTTTATGTGGTATGTTGAAAAAATAAAATATTATTCTCAAAAATATATTTATTCTCTTTATAATTATAATATATAAATATTATTTAGGTACTATATAGATATAAACATAAAAAATTCATAAAATTAAATAAAATCCCTATATTCAAAAGGAAAACTAAAAAAATGATTATTTTGAAAGAAATAGAAAAAAGAGAAACTTAAAGTATATTTAGTGATATTTTTTTTTAGTAAATATTTTTATATATCTTTAAATTATAACCCTTTAATTTTTTGTAAATATAAACATTAGCATGCTTCACTAAATTAAAATAGTTTTATTAGTACATTTTAAACATGTATAAGCATTTCAAATATTAAATTAATTTTAAAATATTTAAACTTTTAAATCAGTATATAGAAAAGAATTCTTTATTTTGAATAGTATTTGAAATTTTAAAAAAAAAAAAAAAAAATATATTTTATTATATTTAAATGGTATCAAAGATTTTGAAAAAATAAAATAAAATTTTACCTTAATTTTCTTTAAAATAATTAATATTTTATAAAAATTAAAAATACTCTTTTTTTTTTTTTATGTTATATCATATTTTAAGAAAAAATGTATTGAATAATTTTTTGTTCAGGATTAATATTTTTAATAAACTGAAAAATATTCATTTATTTTTAATGGTTCACAAAAAAAAAATAAAAAAGTGAAAAATCTTTTTTATTCTATTTTCTTTTTTTTTTTTTTTAATATGGTGTATAAGTAATAATATATATATATATCTATATATATTTATAAATAAAGTAATTATTACTTTTTTTTTCTATAAAATATAAAAATTAATGGATTGTTTAAATAAAATAAATTTAATTCACAAAGTAAATACAGAATTATATAATAGTTTGGGTGTAGAAGATGATAATTTAGCAGAATTTTTAATTTACTTATGTGATAAATCTAAGTCATTAGAAGAGTTTTGTAAAGATGTTTTTGAAAATGGTGGAGAAATAGAATATTCTGTTCTTAAATATTTGTATGATATTATAAAAAGTTCTTCAAAAAATATTGAAGAATCTAAGGAAGAAAATAAAGAAGAAATAACTTCAGAAAAAGAAATAGAATCTAAAGAATATAAACAAATAGAAAAAAAAAATGAAAAAATGAAAAAATATCACTGTTTAACTATAAAGAACGAAAATTTAAGTAAAATGTTAAACGAAAATTCCGAAAAAAATGAAAGTAGTCAAAAGAATGAACACAATAATAATAAATCTTATAGTAATAAATTAAATGACAGTGATTCTTCATATGAAAAAAGAAGAAAAAAAAATAATAATAAATTAAATGATAGTGATTCCTCATATGGAAAACGAAGAAAAAAAAATAATAATAAATTAAATGACAGTGATTCTTCATATGAAAAAAGAAGAAAAAAAAATAATAATAAATTAAATGATAGTGATTCCTCATATGGAAAACGAAGAAAAAAAAATAATAATAAATTAAATGATAGTGATTCTTCATATGAAAAAAGAAGAAAAAAAAATAATAGCAAATTAAATGATAGTGATTCTTCATATGAAAAAAGAAGAAAAAAAAATAATAGTAAATTAAATGATAGTGATTCCTCATATGTAAAAAGAAGAAAAAAAAATAATAGTAAATTAAATGATAGTGATTCTTCATATAGAAAAAGAGAGAAAAATTATAAAAATAAAAAAAGAGGTTATGATGATACTTCTTCTCATAAAAATTATCGTGAAGACAAAAGTAGTAAACATAAAAATGAGAAAAATTATGTGTATGATAATTCATTAAAAATTAATAATATTTTTAGTGGAAGTATAAGTAAAATAATGGATTTTGGAATTTTTGTTTCCTTTAAGACAAGAGAAGGGTATAAAGAAGGTTTAGTTCATGCCACTGATATATTACCAAATCGTAAAAGATTATTAAATATAAATGAAAAATTTAAAAGAAATATGAAAGTTAAAGTAAAAGTAAAAGGAATCTTTGGAGAAAAAATAAGCTTAAATATGTCAGAAGTAGATCAGAACACAGGAAAAAATTTGGTAAATGATGAAGAAAAAAGTGAAAATTATGGCTCATTATTTGATGACATAAATGAGGATTACAAAGAATTAAAAAAAAATAAAGCAGATATTTTTAAAGAAGATCCAAATGAAATAATGAAATATGAAAGTGTCATAAAAATGCAAAGTGATTATTCTAAGTGGGAAATTCAACAGTTAATGAAAAGTGGAGCAGTATATGATGAAAATCTTAAAAAGGAATATAAAAACTTAAAAATGGATGAAAAAATTGAAGACGAAGAAGAAATTATAGAAATTGAAGTTAATGAAAAAGAACCTTCTTTTTTAAAAGGACAAACAACAAAAGCAGGAGCAAAATTATCACCAATTCAAATTATTGTCAATGCTGAGGGTTCTCTAGCTAGAGCAATAACAACCACATCTGCATTAGCAAAAGAAAGGAAAGAGCAAAAGCAAAATGAACAGAATGCAATTTTTGATAGTATTCCAAAAGATATTAGTAGACCATGGGAAGATCCAAAGCCAAATTTAGGAGAAAGAACAATTGCTGAAGCGTTAAAAAATATTGGAAAAAATTATGACTTACCTGAATGGAGGAAAATTTATATGAACAATAATATATCTGTTGGTGTTAAAAACTCTTTACCAATTAATGAACAAAGAATAAAATTACCTATATATAAATTAAAAGATGATCTAATGAAAGCAATTCAAAAAAATAATGTTCTTATTGTAATTGGAGAAACAGGTAGTGGAAAAACAACTCAAATACCTCAATATTTGCATGAAGCAAATTATACATCTAAAGGAATCGTTGGATGTACTCAACCAAGAAGAGTTGCAGCTATGTCTATAGCTAAAAGAGTTAGCGAAGAATTTGGCTGTATATTAGGGCAAGAAGTAGGTTATTCTATTCGTTTTGATGATTGTACATCAAATGATACTATTATAAAATATTTAACTGATGGTATGCTATTAAGAGAAACACTGAGCGATACAATGTTAACGAAATATTCATTTATCATAGTAAGATAATTTAAAATTATAAAAAATAATTAAAATTAATGCATATTTTGAAGAAAACTGAAAAAAAAAAAAAAAAAAAATGTAATTATATATAAAGTTCATTTAAATTATATTATATATATATATGCAGAATAAGATATATATATATAAATATGCTACTTTTTCAGCTTGATGAAGCACATGAAAGAACAATTTCAACAGATATTCTTTTTTGTCTTTTAAAGGTATACTATATAAAAAAAAAAAAAAAAAATTAACAAAAAAAATAAAAAAAATAATAAAATATAAAATAAATGAAAAAAAAAAAAAAAAAAAAAAAAAAGTGAAAGAAAAATATATATATATATATATGTATATAACAAGCCTGTTAAATGACAATATTTAATACAAAATAAAAAAAAATATTGACAGGTACAAGGCTTAAAAAAAATTTCTTTTTTATAAATTTTTTAAAATATATATTTAAAATTATCTATAAAAAAGGAACATATTTTTTTAATATAAAATTTTTTTTATTTAAGTAATAAAAAAAAAAAAAAAAAATGGATATAAAAATATCAAAAAAAATAATTTTTCTTTTACAACATATTTAGGACGTCGTTAGAAAAAGACCTGATTTTAAATTAATAGTAACATCAGCTACTCTTGATGCTGAAAAATTTTCTACATATTTTTTTAATTCCCCAATTTTTACTATTCCAGGAAAAATATTTCCTGTTGAGGTACTTTAAATAAATAAAAATTTTTAAGTCTATATAAACTTTTTTTTTTATTTATTTTATAAAGTTATTTTAATTTACACCATTTTATATATACATTTATGCTATCTTTTTTTTTTTTTTTTTTTTACTTTATAGATATTGCATTCGAAAGAACCAGAAAGTGATTATGTAGAAGCTAGTTTAATAACAGTTTTAAATATTCACTTAAATGAACATCCAGGTGATATTCTGGTTTTTTTGACGGGCCAAGAGGAAATTAATACAGCATGTGAAATTTTACATGAACGAATGAAAAAATTAGAGAGTATGTGTCCTCCACCTTTGATTATTCTACCTATATATTCTTCTTTACCATCAGAAATGCAAAGCGTAATTTTTGAGCCTGCACCTCCAGGATGTAGAAAATGTATATTAGCAACTAATATAGCAGAAGCAAGTTTAACTATTGATGGAATATTTTTTGTTATCGATCCAGGGTTTTGTAAAGTAAAAAAATATGACTCTAAAAGAGATATGGATTCTTTAATTGTTGCTCCAATTTCTAAAGCTAATGCTAAACAAAGAGCTGGTCGTGCAGGTAGAACAGGCCCAGGTAAATGTTATAGACTTTATACTGAAGAAGCATATAAAAATGAAATGGCAGAAACTAGTGTACCAGAAATACAAAGAATTAATTTAGGTAGTATTGTATTATTATTAAAGGCTTTAGGAGTTAATGATTTTTTACATTTCGATTTTATGGATTCTCCATCTATTGAAACTCTTATACATTCTTTAGAAAATTTATATTACTTAGGTGCTTTAGATGATAATGGGTATTTAACAAAATTAGGAAAAAAAATGGCAAACTTTCCTATGGAACCTAATTTATCAAAAATTTTATTAACATCAATTAATTTCAATTGTGCTGATGATGTAGTTACTATAGTTAGTATGCTTAGTGTACAGAACATTTTTTATCGCCCTCAAAATAAAGCATTATTGGCAGATAAAAAGAAAAATAAGTTTGTAATGCCACAAGGAGATCTTATTACTTACTTAAATATTTATAATAAGTGGAAAGAAAATAGTCTTTCTAATTATTGGTGCCATGAAAATTTTATTCATTCAAGAGCCTTAAAGAGAGCACAAGATGTAAGAAAGCAACTTCTTTCCATATTCGAAAAATATAATTATGAAGTTAAAAAAAATACAAGTAAAAATGACGCCACAAGATATGTTAATATATGTAAAAGCATATGTTCAGGTTATTTTAATCATGTCTGTAAAAGAGATAGTCAACAAGGATACACTACTCTCTTAACTAACCAACAGGTTTTTATTCATCCATCATCAACTCTTTTTAATAAAAATCCATTATTTGTAGTATATCATGAATTAGTTTTAACAAATAAAGAATACATAAGAGATTGTACTATCATTCAACCACAATGGTTAATACAGTTAGCACCCAACTTATTTATTCCAGCAGACGAGAAAAAAATATCAAAGATTAAATTAAGAGAAAAAATTGAGCCATTACACAATTATTATGAAGAACCTAATGCATGGAGATTGTCTAGAAGAAAAGGATAATAACAAAATATAAAAAAAAGAGAACATATATATATAAATTAGGTATAAATTTGTTATTTATTCATTCTTCTTTTTCTTTCCTTTTCATATTTATTTTTCATATATTCTTATTTTTGTTTGTAATTATATATATATATTTTTTTTTTTTTTTTTTTTTTTTTTTTTTTTTTTTTTTGTGTGTGTTTTTTTTAAGATTGATATATTTTTTGTATAAATAAAATTCAAATATACCTTTTTTACTAAAGTTCATATATTTTATTTTCAATCATCATATTGAAAAAACTATTTAATTCCTTCAAATAATATTTAGTAAATATTAATATAAATTTTATTATCTACTATATTTCATTTAAAAAAAAAAAAATTAATAATTCTAAAAAAAAAATATATATATATATATATAGACATTAAAAAAATAAAGTAAATAATAAATGAAATTGAACTAGTATAAAAATAAAGGTATTTCACTTTAAAAAAAAAAAGCTTCTTTTATTTTATTTTTTTTTTTTTCTTGTTTTATTTATGAAAATAACATATTCAAAATAAATGATATTAATTTTTTCAGAATATTTTTTAAAAATAATTTTAAGAATAATGATATTAGAATATTATGAAATGTTTAAAAAAAATATATTTTTTTTTTATTTAATTCTACAATTTAGTAATTCGCTTTTAAATCTCTTATTGACTCTGGCAATTCTCCTACTATTTGTAAAGCATAAAAACCTGGAACATATTTACTTAAATCATTGTATTGTGCCATCCATGATTTGTTAGGGTTAGTTATGGCTATAAACCCATGGAAATTTTCTGTGGTGCAATCATGGATTCTATGTCTATCTCCCGTCATTTGTAAAAATTTACAATTATTACAACCATTTTGATAAAACTATGAAAAAATTGATATTTATATATTTATATTTCATTATTATATATAATAAGAATATATATTTTTGTTAATTTTATTTAAATAAAAAACAAAAATAATTTACTATCATTAACATTAATAATATTATATTTTTTAATACATATAATTGCAATTTCAAAAATAAAATTATTTTATGAATATGTTAATTACTTCAGCTTCTGTTTTTAATAATCTACATGATAAGCAGGCACGTAATTTTAACACTGCTTTATCCTCTTGTAAATTGTTCTTTGATTTTTTTGGTAAATCTCTATAAAAAAAAATATATTTGTATTATATACATTTATATATAATTTTTTCTATAAATTTATGATTTCTTGTTTTTTTAATACTTTTGTTCTGCAAATGACTCATCGTTTTTTTTCATATCAGATTTTTTTCTTCCTATTAAAAATTATAAAGAAAAAAAATTTTTAAAGAGTAAAAAAAAATATAGTTTCCAATAGTTTTTTTAAAAAACCTTTTGATGTTGTCATACTAATTATTTTATTTTTTTTTTTTTTTACAATGAATGAAAAAAAAAAAATTTCAAAGCTTAAAAAATTTGTTAAAAAATTTGGTTAGTCAAAATGACAAATTTTTTTTTCTTTCTTCTTTTTATTAGGAATTTCATTTAAATCTTGTTAAAAATTTAATGATTAATAATGATACTAAAACTTAATGCATATTATTATACTATTTCATTTTTTTTTATTAAAATTTAGATATATTTTATTTTGTTATTTATTTGTATTAATAATATACATTAAGAAATGATTAAGTAAAAAAAAAAAAAAAATTAAAAGATATATAAAAAATTATTTATTTTTAGTTATAAAAAATTTTAATAAATAAATATTATACTGAAAACTTTTTTACATATCGAATAATGCACAGATATAAAGATTGATATTTTTATATTTTAAAAAATTAACAAGTGTTTTTGATATTTTTATATTTTAAAAAATTAACAAGTGTTTTTTCTTCAAAATAATTTTGTTGATGCTTTCACAAATAATATTTATATTAATTAAATGGACAATTCTTATAATTATATATTTCCATATTATTCAAATAAATCCAATATATTCTAATTTGTTATTTTGTTGTTTACAAACTTTTCTTAATATTAATTTTTATATATAGAATTTAACCTTTATATGAAATTTTATTTATTTTTATGAATTTTTACATTCCATATAAATAATGAGTAAGGATAAAAATATAATAATAATATATAGAAGAAAAAAGAACAATTATATTTTAATATTTAGAAGATAAAAAAAAAAAAAATAAAATAAAAATTATAAAACA